ACACACACAGCTAACATTGCACTCATCATTCAATCATTGTAAAATCAATACGCTCTGCTAATCTAAATTAAATGTAATTATGTAACTTTTAACGTCAAACTTAACATACATTTTTCTATATTAACTTAATGAGTTAAAAATATTAATTAACTTGATCAGCCTTGGACACCATAGTATATTAATGTCACATTGTAATTGATGAACTGAAACGGTAATGCTTATAGGTGTGAAGGTTCATAAATAAAAAATGTAATAGTTATAATACAATGAATAAGTATTTAAAAATATGAAGGATTTTTTACCATAGCTATACCTATATATTTGATGTTGTAGGTCATAACTTATATAATAATCATTTTTTATAGGGTTAGGATCTTATGGTTTTAACTTTTAAATACAGTTTGCTGTAAATTATTTTTTTTTGGTTGTTATTATTTTTAAATAAATAATTGAAATGTTTGCAATAAAAATATAAAATATGTAAATAAAACCCTATCTATTCAAATATTGTGGTTTTTTATACTTAAATCTTAATATATAATTTATAAGATACTGGAATATCAAGTAGTTAAGTAGGTAGGTACACCTTTTTAGATTCTGAGTGAAATGTATGAATGTATTGATTTTACAATAATGTGTGTTTTTTTTTTATTTTTTTATTGTGTCTGTATCACCTTTTAGGAGGTCAAAAGTAACATTTTTCCAGTAGTTTTCAAAATCACCGTGAAAAACAAAAGAAAAATTAAGGAAAAACGGGAATTTTCGATGTTTTCGAAAAAATTGATTTTGGTTTTTGGTGCAACTCTTAAACAAATGACTGTAAGTACATTTTGACTGAATGTTGCTATTAGCATTTTCTATACACTATAACATTTACCAAATATTTTGACTTATTTTGAGCTGTTTACGGACATTTTCAGTTTCCATTTTTTTTAGCTTTTTTTCTATAAATATCAATAAAATTGTATTTGTTGGTTAAAAAATCTTGAAAATGTAATAGGACAATCCTGGTATATTGTTTCAAAGGCAGATGAAAAAAAATAAAAATCCAATATTTTTTTATAAGCATTGAAAGTTTAAATCTTGACAAAATGTATCAAATTTAAAATGTAATAATTATTTTTAGTTAAAAATGTATAAAATATTCAACTTTTATAGCTAAGGATTGAAAATTTAAAACAAGGTTCCAAATAAATAGTTTATATATAAATTACTTTAGTCCCCTTAATATCATCATTCATCATAGTAGGCTGACTGTAATATTATTCGTGGGTACTTGAAACTTCTAAAGTAGGTACTAGGTACACTATTATATATCTATGATAGTATCAGGGTTTGTCGTTTATGTATAACGCGTTATAAGTACCTAATGGATATTGTGATATCATTAATTTGGAATTTATTATAGGTCAATTTTTTTGATACCATAGTAGGTATATAATATGTCTTATACCTAGACTGACCTACCGTCTCCGCTTAGAATCGTTTTTCTTATACAATGATATTATATCATTGAATTCAAATTCAACACCATCCATTGCAGTGACCCACTTTTAACCTACTGTACAGAAAAGCGACATAAACTTGCCCACCTTTTTTATTATTATTATTAATTATAATCTATATAGTCATTGTACAATACGTAAGAATATTGATTTACTATATTATATTCATTCAGCCCGTCTATATCATTATCCGATAAAATTTCTCAAAAAAAAAACTAATTATCACTTATCGGGTACTTTTAATATATAAGTATTTAATATTATTGTCTATAAAAAATAATATTCGTATAATGTTAAATATATTTTATAGTTAATCAGAACTATATAAGACGTGTCAATACGACAAAATGGAGAGATTATAGATGTGGATACAATAATAATATAATATATTATCATTTATTATAATAAATTACCATCAGAATATATAGGTACTGCAAACACCTTAGGTACCTATAACTATCTTATGAGAGTTTCGTTTTATCTTTTACACAATATTGAATAAAGTAAACATCATCAAGACTTTAATTTGTATTGTTAAGTTAATACTTAGTAATTGTAATCCCTAGATAGTGATTATACGTAAGTATAGGTGAAATAATAATAATAATTTGTCGATCGCATACAAATTGCGGCCACGTCGTACGTGATTAATCCGCAATAAGTGAACAACACTAGCACATGGCGCACATCACATTATTATTATTATTATTATTACAAGTGGTTTTAATCGTCTTATAAGCGATATGATATTATGCAATGGCGTATCACTGGCACAGAATGGCACATAATTATTAATTCGATTAGATCGAACAAAAACGAAAAATAAGCGTCGTCATAGACTGCAATGACAATAGTCAGTTGTAAGTCTCTTCTATAAAAACAATGTTGCGTGTATCGACACTCTTGATGCCGCCGCGATTGCAGGTGTTGTGAATTTAGAATCTAAGCCGCCGTGCAAATTTTATTCGGATTTGTCAATGGACGCACAATGTCGAAGCCGCGTCGGCATTGTGTATCTGTTTGTTCCGACAACAATGAAACTGCAGCTCCGCAAACCCAATTCTAGGTGAGCAGAAAATAATGCACTCAAAACAGCAGACGCAAAACAACGACCTACATCTGAGACACAGTATTGAAGAGATTAATTTGATAAGATCGAACAAAAAAGGAAAAATAGTGTAGTCATAGCTGATTGCAGTAATTAGACTGTATTGGTAACTTGTAGGTATTTCCTACAAGCAATTTGTACACTGTACATGTAACGTACATAACTAACCTAACCTAACCTAACCATCACGAGATTGCCGCAGAATATTAATAAAAATTCAATTTTGGCATGCGTTGTTGGAGGCAAGTGTTTAGGTTTATGAGTAAAATCTTTAAATTATAAATTTGTTTACCTATTAGTTATAGATGTTATATTATACTGAAAAAAATTAGGCTCATATTATATATATTTTTTACGTTAAAACTATATATATCATATGTGTTGCAAATTGCTGTGCAAAACTATATCTATATAACGAAACGCACAAAACAACAGTTGCAAGTATCACAACTCACAGCTAAACGTTTAACGATATTTCTACGAAAAATTATCGAATCGATTGCCCCATATCATAGATATTGCGAGCTCCAAACAGTTGGCAAAATAAATATTTTTATTTGTACAATAAGAGACACCGCGATTACAGCTGAATTTTAAAATAATTTAAATTTCGGAAGGTGTTGGGGGGGGGGAGAGTTAGATGAAGTTAGTTTTATGAATAAAACCTTTTAATTACAAATTCAATTCATTATCATTTATTTATAGATAATGATTAATATATTGGAATAAAATGTACTCATTATATAAAATATTTATAAGCATATTAAACTTTACGTTAAAACTTTGTGTTTCAAATTGCCACACAAATTATACAAGTAATACGTAGAGCTCTTAAAAAAACCAAACATAATATTATTATATAAATATTATTTAAAATTTTTTTTTTGTTTTTGGTGGGGGGTAACGGCATAACAATAATATAATAACAAAGCTCGCAACACAGCAGCAGTCACATGTCGCAACTCTAAACTCTACACCCGAGAGAAATTTATGAAGTTTATACGGCGAATTATCATCTGGCCTGCCACATTGTTATGTAATATTGTGCCTGAGGAAAAGGCCGTTGTCTCTAGTACCACTTGAGCGACGGCCTGGTAGTATCATCATCGTACGCGGCCACTCGAAGAGGATAGCTTTATCGCCGTCACGCGTCGGCGCAATATTATGCAATATCGTATCACTGACAGTCTGGCACAATTTATATAATACACCACTAGGCACTAGGTATCTAGAAATAATAGATTATTAAATTATTTTTACCCCGAAATAATAATAATAACTTTCAATTGTTGTAGCCCAATTTTAAGCGGCCAAACGATACTTTTTCGGTAGCCCCCCTGATCAATCCGGGTCTGGGTACAGAGCAGGAAAAGATTAATTCGATAGAATCGAAGAAAAAAGAAAAAAAAAACTTTGTCATCGATTGCAGTTACAGTAGCTGGTCTCTTCTGCAAACAAACAAACAATGTATACGTGCAACGCGTAATATCGCCTCGATTGCAACAGCTGTGGATTTAGAATTTAAACCGACACGCACAAGTGCACAACATTCGTTCGGATTTGTTCGTAGATCACGTGGCGCCCCATCAGTCGGCACAAACAAAATAAATAATAGTTACATGACAAAGCGCTCGACGGGTCTCCGTCGTATTTTTTCTGTTTGTTTTAACTCGACAATCGTGTGACAACAACTTACAGCGACGCAAAACACGAACCGCCACGGGACGAATGTTCGCAAAACGGCAGTCGCCAAGTTGCAACTCGCAACGCTACACCGCAGCGGTGGCGGTTTACGATTGTTTTTTTGACGCCAAGTTATCGAATCGATTGTCGAGCACAGCTATCGCGTACCGTGGGCAACATTAATATCGTGCGCGCTAAAAAGGCCGTCGCCGCCGGTCGAGCCGCTTGAGAGACGATCTGCTTAGCCAGACTCGTTGTAGGTAGTGCCGAAACGTCGTCGTTGGTGGCCACGTGTGCTAAAACTTTATAATATTGGTGCGTTTTGAATCGTTCCCATATTATTATTGAACGCTTTCAAATCCACACGATGGTTCGCTGTTAATGGCAACTCGTGTATTGGGTTTAGTGTGCTGCTGTACGATTGAAAGTTTGAACGGTTTTGTTTACCGACTCCCGAAAGTATAACTTTTTGAACTTAATCCGTTCGACAAAACATAATCGGTTCACCAGTAGAGCGCAGACGGCCTAACGATCAGTGCTTTTCAAAATAATATTTTCTCCATCGGCGTGTGCGTGCATCTCCTCCATACGCGCACATTTACGTGTCTTAGTGCAGTCGTCGTCGTCGTTCGGGGTCGTCGCGTGGCCGGGCGAATACGACAAAGCAATATCGCCGTCACACGTCTGCACGTCAAGTCGGCACTATGAGACCGACAGCCGCCTCCGCCGCCGCGTGTTTGGCCGCCGTGGCCGTGGCCGCGTTCGCCGTGGACGCGGCCGACCTGGACCTGGTGCTGCTGCACGCCAACGACATGCACAGCCGGTTCGACGAGACGGACGTGTACTGCAACGAGTGCCGCGAAGACGACGCTTCGCTGGGCCACTGTTACGGCGGCTTCGCCCGGGTCTCCCAGTTCGTGCGCGACGAGCGGCGGTTGGCCAACGAGAGCGGCTGGCCGTCGCTGTTCCTGGTGGCCGGCGACACGTTCCAGGGCACGCCGTACTACTCGCTGTTCCACTGGAAGCCCGTCGTCGACTTCATCAACCAGCTCCGTCCGGACGTCATGGTCACTAAATATTATTTATTATTATTATTGTTAATTTATTTTATCTATTCAACGGGCGCGAAGTCCGATATAACACAATAACGCTTGGCAATAAATATTATACATTAAAATATAATACAAAGCATAATATAGTTAAGAATAATAATCGTAAACATTTAAGAAATATCAAATACACTTGATTGCTATAATTCTATACCTAATGTATCAGGATGGCGGGAATAAAAATAATCATAGTCATGCGCCCGGAGTAAGCAGGGGCAGACACTTTTTTAGATGGTATTTACCCAAAGTCCCAAAATTGTCCTTTTTAGAAGAAAAATAATACAAAATATGTAGTAGGTGTGATCGATATTACAGTTTAAATATGTGCAAAAATCATGAAATAATATTATCCCTTACAATAAAAACGTCATTATAATAATATTATACATATTATCATCGATATATTTTATCCTAATATTGTCGAATAAAAATCAATAATGATAATTATCATAAAATGTTTAATGCGATTTTATGAGCATTAATTTTTTTAAGTAGCACTTTTTATCATAGATTTATACCTTACAGCTAACAAACCACAATTAACATTATTTTCTCGACTCATAACATCAAAACTTTATAAAAGTTTTTGAAAATATTTTTTTACATGACTTTAAGTCATTAAGAATTATTTTTTGAAAAAACAATTCTATTTTTTATCATTATACATATTTTTCATTTTTATTTTTCCTTCGTTAATGACAACATACATATGAAATACATAAATAAATACATAATAATGAATATTTATAAGTACATAGCTAAATTTAATATTTTTATGCATATTATTTTTTTATCCTCTGGTCTTTTGCCCTATTGGCTCATTCAGTTAATGAATTCAAATTTCAAATGATCTGGTCCCGAGGCATTCCAATTAACGGCACCTACAAAATACAATATGTGTTAGAAAACGAATCTACGGATACACCGAATCTTCTTATAATAGCATTTTTTAAGCTTAATTTTAAGCATTTCATAGAACTGTGGTCCTCAAATAATATTATTCTACTACACAACTTTTTAATATAAACTTTGAATGTGCAAAACTGCGAATCATGGATATCCAAACCAATAAATGATATTGTGATAGATATTAGATAAAAACTATTCGGGCCCCGATTCTCCGGTCAACCCTAGCTAAATAGTACAACAACATATTTTCTGATCTTTTATCAAGATAAAATCTTTAACGGTGATATGTACTTCGTATTGTGAAATAACATACTAAATTCCTAATAACCTAATGGTTAAATTTGTAGTCACAAAAATTGAAAAATGGGTAAAACACAATTTTGTACGGTATTTGTCGATGGGGTACTTACCTTTTTTATAACACGATTTCAAGCATTAAATTAATAGTACTTTTGAGCCAAGTTGTACGTACTTCGCAATATTTTACTTAACATTAAAATTTAAGCTATGATTCATAACTAACAAAATCGAATAAATCTATAGAATAGCAAATGGCTGAAAAAGCTTCCACTAAATGTACAACAGCCAATTTAAATTTGTTCACCCACCAACATGTCATATAAAATGTACCTATACTGATATCGGAGGAAATCGAACTTTAAAGTTAAAACAATAAAAAAATTCCTTATCCGATTTAAAATGTATTCAAACTTCAATTTAAATATAAAATTCAAAAAAATGTATTATATTCTCAAAAAATGTTTATTTTCAATTATTTAAGACGAATTTAGGTAACCACATTATACACAATATATTTTTCATTACTGAATGGGTAATTTATTTTTTTGTTATTTTAATTATATTTAAATATATATTGTAAATCTCGACACTGATTACTGAGTAAAGTTGATTCATTTTTAACCACATTGTTGGATTTTCTTTAAAAGTATTAAAATTGAATACCTACCTTTAATTTGTTTATGTCATTTGAAAACCATGTAATTATAAATTTTACGACGTTCGATCCTATTTAGTACTCATCGAATAGTATTTATGGGACTTCTTTGTTATTCGACAAGTATATTCGCAGTAATGATTTCGAAAAGGTAGATACAAATATACAATGTATAATGTCGACCGTCGGGTTCAACGAGCATGGCCCTTTTTCACAAAAATATATCTGTTTAGAATTTGGGTTACTGCGCTAAATATTGTTTGAGAACTTAGTAATACCGTTGTAAATTTTAGTTTTTTAAAACCACAAATCGATCATAATATTAAAAAATGATATAATATAAATAATAAATGTATAGTTGAAATATAGTTTTTAAAAATTACTTTATTAAAAAAAAAAGTTTAAGTTTTAGTTTGTTTATACTAAATTTTAATTTTGTTTCGTTATTGTCCACTATACTAACGATTTACAAATTACAACTTCTCCAAATACAAGTTACAAATGAAAAAAAGGTAATGGAGTTGGATTGTAGTAAGAAAAACAATATAATATTAAAAACACAATTCAAGTGGAAACTGTGAAAATAACATTTTCTTTAAATAAAAAAAAAGTAATATCCGATGAACCAATAAACCCTCTCAAACGCATGCTAATATACTCTAATACTATATTATAATACCACCAATACCTACTTCATTTTGAATAATCAAATGCTCAAATAGTATAAGCACGAGCTGGAAACACTAAAACATTATTTATCAGTTATCGAAAATTCAAGTTAATATTAAATTACACGGATATTATTCTCAATAGCGTTGAGTTATACTAACCAATTATTATACGCATTCCGATTATTTCATGCTTTCTACTCAATCAACGATACGTTTTTATAAGTCATAAAAATTGAAGTTATATAAATATTTTATACGACTTAAGTATCAACAAATATTTTTTTTTAATTGCATAATCATTTATAATACACAGAACCATGCCCCCCGTCAAAATAAAATTATATTATATTATATAATTGATTTAATAAGCTGTATTTTGTTTAGAAAACTTGTAGTGTATCATCAAACTTAAATTCAGGATATAAATAATTACAAACTAGGTACTGTAATTACAATAAATATACCAAAATAAGATAAAATTACTTTATTTTAATAAAAACTAGGGAGATACCTACAATAAAAAAATATAAAAGGTACATTATTTTAAAGGTGGTACACTTGAGAGCAGTATATTAATAATAATTAATAACTTTAGTTATGATGTATTAAGAAAAATATTTGAAATATTTTTAAACAATTTTTTTTTAATATTCTTCAACTACCTAGCTGTAAAAATATACCTTACTAAATTCATTAAAAATAAATAATAATATATTTAATTTTCATTGCAGACTTTAGGGAATCACGAGTTTGACGACGGCATCGATACTCTTGTGTCTTACCTAGATGGAATAAAAAATATACCAACAGTAATATCAAACTTGAACACGACCGCAGAACCAACCTTGGATAAATATCTGTTGCCGTCGATTGTATTTACAATAAATTCAACTAAAGTGGGAATCGTTGGATATTTAACAACGGACACGCCGGTAATCATTATTTTATTTACAATTATTGTTTATTAGGATTTAGGAAGTAAATTATCAATAATATTCTTATATAACTTATATACCTATAATGTATATTTACGTTTTGACTTTCGTTATTCAATCATGTATTCATCGTAAAACATGGTACAATATATATTTTTATTCTGCAAATCCAGTTAGTTCTCTATAGTTTTAATATGTTAATAATAAAAATTAGAGATAATACAGTATATATAATTACAATTTCATTGTTTATGTGTTTTTGTATTGAAACCCGTGTATGGGATATCATATTACATTTTGTCTATCTTATACCTTATAAGTTATAAGTAATAAAAATCAATTATATAATATAATAAGTATATAATTGATAATTGTTTACATAGGGAATACAGGGGATTTGTCCTGTACTCCAGTATACACGAAGTTAGGTTAGGTTATGAATTAATTTACTTATGTGTTTTATAATATAGGTACATTAGATTATAGAGGATAAACGTTTAATTATAAATCGAGGTAATTGCCTGGGGGCTGGGACGCACGTCTTTCAGTTGATAACTATTAACTATACTTAGGAAAGATATTGTATAGTCGCAACTCGCAGTTGTTTTAAAGTAATTTAGCTAAAATACGTATCTGATCATAATTTATAAACTGCGTCATAAGCATACGTTATGCCTTATTCTTGTCACATTTTGGTTCGGTGTTTTTACTCATTATTTTTGAATGTGTTGTAGTTATTCAACAAATAAGTAATTACTAATTACCTCGAGCATCAGAATCGGGCATACAAAATTAACACATTCATACATAATAAACAAAGACACCGGACCAAAATTTGACTTCTGCTCATACTCGTCCATATTGTTGTCTGGCCAATATTTAATGATACTGCATAATAATTAAAGGTACCTACAATACTTAGTTGTCGCAAAATATATGATAATAAGCTGTGTGGTAGGAAAACATTCATTAAAATTTGTAACTTTTGTTTGAAGTAAAAGGAGATAGCTCAAGAAATAAAATATTTATAGATACGCGTTATGTGTATTACGAGTATTGAAATAAAAAATAAAAAATCCGTGAACTAGGTTAGATGTCAAATGTAACTTTTGGTCCAATTTGGTGTAACTCAAAAACGAATAACCATTTGAATTGTCATCAAGTGTTTATAAAAAATCTTCACTTGGTCTAAAAGCTTGAAGTTATTTTATCATAATTCTAAAATATACTTAGGTACTTACCTATGTGGGTAAGTACTTTACATTTTTAAGTTTTAACGTATAATATTATATTTTATATTTTCTGAGGTTCTGTCACTGGACAGTCTCCTCTTCATGTGTTTCATGTCTTCTTTAATCACTATCATCATTGTTACTTATTGTTTTATGTGTAAACAGATTGTAATATATTTTTAATAAAAAAAAAAAAAAAAAAAATATTATATTTTAAACACACAATTAGATTTTCAAATACAATATTTTCAGTAAAACTTAAAACGTATGTGCTTAATATTTAATCTGTTTTTTCTCTATATATAACGACTGAAATATAATAATTATTGTTGTTAAACAATCTTTAATACCTAAATAAAAAAAGTTACCTATACTCGGTAATCACTATACATAACACTCAAATATCTATAAGTAGGTTGGTACACTAAACGATTCTGATTATCATAACCATACTCAACATTATTTTAGACCATATCCAACACCGGGAATGTTGAATTTTTTGACGAAGTTGAGTCTTTGAAGAAGGAAACAAAAAAACTACGAGACGATGGCGTTAACATAATTATTGGTCTCGGACATAGTGGCATTGAAAAAGATCAAATAATTGCCAGGGAAGTGGAAGACATTGATATAATTGTTGGTGGACATTCACATACGTTCCTGTACTCCGGTAAGCATACCACGTGGCATGTATATTCTTATTTGAATAATTAATTAACTATTTAATCCTGAGTTTATTTTATCATTCAGTGTTTATCGATGTTACTTTTTACCAATTTATATTATAACAATTAATTTATAATAATTTTAAAATATAATATACTAGCAGACCCGGTGAACTTCGTTGACCGTTATAAATGTCAGCTCAATATGATTCAAACTTTGTTCAAATCGTTATTTAATATTTTTGTAATGGTATTTAATCTTAAAAATGTTCGTCGGCCATCTTGAATCTCAAAATGCTTGTGCAAGTACCACTTTAAAATGCGATTTTTTTAAAATTACTTCTTAGTGCACACTTACATGGCATTGGTACGAAGGTACTATGAATTTGCAAGCTTCAAGCTATCACTGTTTAGGCTCTACGTCGATCAGTCAGTGAGTCAGTCAGGACACATTAGATTATAATGGTATACTAACTGAATATCCCGGTATCCCCGGTGTGCTGTTTGGAATTTTTTTTGTGATAAATCCTATATAGCATGTACGTGCTATATAGGACGTATATCTCGGTTTTAGTGTATGCCGGTGTTTACGGGCAAATCGGCATCGGTTTGCCTATAGGTTTGTGTAATCACTCGACATAGATGGGCAACCACCAGTCGTGGATTGAATTTAGCACATGTTATATTATATTTAAACTGCTTATACTCTCTAAACTTTTCTGACATTTCTAATAACAATCTTTGATATTTTCGTCAGATTTAATTGAGTAGCTTTTTAGTATATAAAGCAAAGGTGGGCATTAACTTGTTAAAAAGTTAAAGTTAAGTTAAAAAGTTGATTTTTTTTTACCCTTTATATTTGTTTTTAACTTATTAACTTATTCAGTTACAATTATTATTGTTGTAACTTAACTTTTTATAGTTAATTATCATTGTTATGCAGTTAGGTTAATTTTTGTTTTCGAGTCATGTTTAATCAACTAGGCAATACTGAGTCGTCGACTTTTTTACGATTTTGGTAATTTGTTTTCGAATTATGTATTACAATAATCTAATTTTTTACACAGTGTTCAATGTCTTGGTAAATGTTTGTGTATAACAAAACAGTATGGTAGTTTATGATTTAAAAATATTGTACTTTCAAAAAAATTAACTTTTTTTTTACTGAAATAAGTTAATTTTATTTTTTATCTTCACTTTAAACTTATCTATAGTTAAATTTTTTTTCTTTTTTAACTTTTAACTTAACTGAAGGCAATTTAATTGAATTAACTTAACTTGCCACAGTTAAGAATTTTCATTAACTTTCCCACCATTAATATAAAGTTTGGTTAGGTTAGGTATATTTGGTTTTAAGATATAGTTACTTTATTCAAGGCCATATTATGCGTGGCAATTTTGCATGCTTGTACGTTGTACCTGATCTGCCCGAGTAAACAACGGCATCCATTTATAAACAAAAAAAATTTCAATTTCCACCATGAATCTCAAGCTCCTAGTTTGACCACCTCTTTAAAATGCATGTTTTGGAAAATCCATTCTTAATGCACATCTAGAGCATTAGAGGAAAAACTATTCCAAAATTCAGGTTCATACATTTTGTATTTTTTGAGATATAGCGATTAATGAGTGAGTGAATAGTATTTGGATTAGGTATATATTATTTTATATACATTATACTATTATATATTTAACATTTTTATTTAAAAATAAAATCCAAAACGACGGATAAATATTTTTACTTTGCGATTTAATTTTTTAAGTTTTTTTAAATGCTGAGCGGAGCGAGGAAGCTAGTGGTTTTACAATGGTGTTTTTTTTTTTAACCTGTATATAAAATGTTTACTTGTAGAAGTGCTTTGATTTCAACATATGATATATTATCTTTTAGCAAATCGGATCAAGATGGTACTTTAAAGAGGTAATTTTTCGATTTTCTCAATAATTATTTAATTCCAAGGGAAAAACCACAGACAAATTACAAAAAAACCACTAAAAATGGGATTTAAATTTCTAAAGCTTTGTTTATCACCATAGTAACGAATAAAAAAATTACAATATTATAATATCAATTCAGCTTACAGCTGGCTATAATAAATAATAACAATATAAAATATCCAGAATTCATTGAATTCAAGTTTAATACATTCCATTATACATTGACCCACTTGTAACCTACTGTACAGCAGAGTGACATCCACGTACCCGCTTTTTTTGTTTGTTTCTATATACAGAAATCCTTAGGAAGGGATAAACATTATTATTATTATTTTTTAGTGCACTTTTAGAACATACCTACATCTTATGACAGTATCGAAATATTCCGCTTCAAGCATTGTTTCACGTCGAAAGATATTCTAGGTCTTTATCAAATTCAGTTCAGTGGCTTAGGCATGAAAGCGTTACATACCTAGATAAGACAGACAGAGTTACTTTCACATTTATAATATTATAGGGATAGTAGGAATAGGGAAGTAGTGGTATTGAAGTAGGGATGGAAGGGATTATAACCATCCCGCAAGGCGTTGCCCGTGAAACACGCTTGTGATTATGTGAGCAGTAATTAGGTACCCAGCGAGGTGTGTACGTAAGTATAGGTATAATTTCTAACTCTAAAGTTTCAAAGTTATACCAAGTTAATTATAATATATATATCTATGATTATAACGTCACATCGACATGGATGAGTAGGTACACGTCACTAACATAGGGCCACTCGAAGAAAGCTATTTTATAGAGTTTCAACATCTAATCTTTCAACATTTTATTTTCATTAATTTCATAGTTGTTAATATTTTTTAAGTTTATAGTTAAAACAGCAAAAAACCTCATGGCTAGTCGACCTCTACGGCTAATGTATATAACCTCACAGCCCACAGGACATTCTATATATAGATATTCATTTTTTTTATAATAAATAATACAAATTTAAAATTGTAATATTATTGCATAACTTTATATACCTATAGACTATAATAGCTATACTCTCTGCTGAGTCTACTGTCTAGTAGACAAATGTGTGTAGATTGTGATGAAAATTATTGATTTTTTTATTCCTTATTATAAATTTATTTTTCAGGCACTCCACCTAGCATTGAAAAACCATATGGACCATATCCACTATACGTGACGAATGTTAATAATAAGAAAGTGCCAATATTACAGGCATATGCAAATACCAAATACGTTGGCAAAGTTGTTTTAAAATTTAATTCTAATGGCGACTTAGTTAGTATCGATGGTAAACCAACATTATTGAATCATGAAGCTAAACAAGGTAATAATTCTATTTATGTTTATACATATTATATATAAAAAAAAATATTTCTATGATTTTAAACTTAAATAAGCATATTTTAATACGACGTAGATCCAGAAATGTTGACTGTGGTCGATCAATGGAAACCACAGGTAACTAATATTACAAATGTTACGATCGGTCGTACAGCTGTCGAGTTGATAAACACTTGTCATCAAATGGAATGCAACATAGGCAACCTGATAGCTGATTCTTTCGTTTACTATGTGAGTAATTATAAACTTGAAGTTACATTTTCCTTAACAATTAATTGGCTTATAGAACATTCTGAAAAAAGAAAATTACAATGAGTATTGGACTGATGCTCCTATTGGGATAGTTCAAGCTGGTGGCATTCGGACAACTATCAACGAAACTGACCACGATGGTAACAATATTATTTATATTACATATTTACATTACACACTTTGTTCTTAATTGTAAAACTATTTTAAATGTATTTTTATTGCAATTATGGTATTTTACAATACCTTAAACTAAACATAAATTATTATGTGTGTTTAAAAGTTTCAAATGGTTTATATGTATCAAGGACGAAAACATAAATATCAATGCTATTTCTATTTAATTACTTTTCTTAGTACTTGAATGAAAACCAATGAAATAGTTACTTCAATGTTTTTTTTTTTGTTACAAATTCATTCTATCATTAATAATTTTTATTTCATATTGTTTATAGTTTTTAATTTATTGTTAATTGGTTTTGTTTAAATCAATGTCAACAATAATAAATAACTAATAAGTACTAATTAAAATATAAACTATATATTATTATATTATATTATATAAATTATATTATTTTTTTCGATTATCTTTCAAGGATATTAAAATATCAATGCTACAGATTATGGTGTACGGTCTAAAAAATTTATGATTTATTTTTTTTTTAAACCAGGTTACATCACATTAGGCCAGTTAATCAATGTCATGCCGTTTCAAAATACCCTGATTAAAGTTACTATTTCTGGTAGCAGCCTATTAGAAGCATTTGAACAAAGCGTTTACGACTTTGTAGAGGGTCGAGGTGGATCTAAACTTTTACAAGTATCCGGTAAATTAAAATTTTTTAAATTAATTTAGATATTTTTGATATTCACAAAGTATTCAGTCTACTTCTACATCAGTATAAGATCAACATTTCAATATCGCACTAACGTGTTTTATAATTTTTGGGTAATATTAATTTATATGTATTTAGTATGTAATATAGTAAACTTAGATATATTTTTAATTTTATACTATTAACTAAATTAGGTACTTATATAATAAATGTTTATTATCATTTATCAGCTACCAGTGTTAGTACCTAAATAAGAAAAAAATCATAACTTATTATAATGAATTAATTCTACTAATAAATGCAATCATTCAGTTATTATCAATAAACAAAATTCATTACTATATATTGTAATATGGATTTTGATAAAAAAAATTGTTTTTCAGGCGTTCTGGTCGAATATGATTTAACAAAGAGTCCTGGTAACCGAGTCTCTTCACTATCACTCCGATGTGGTGATTGTAACGTTCCTAAATTTGAACCTTTACAATTAAATGCTAACTACACAATAGTGATGAACAATTATTTGGCTGAAGGTGGAGATAATTTTAAAACATTTCAAAAAAATTTAAAGAAAAATCAAGCATTAGGTTTGTAAATTATTGTGTATTATTATTTATTAATTTAATTCTGTAGCAGTAAATAAGAAAAAATATTTGTTATTATTATTTATTGTATTGTCTCAATACGCCCAATGTAATTACAGACTTAAACTAAGTGTTAGACTAGCTAGTGGCAATGGAGACAAATACAGCAACATAAACAATGAAATTGTCAAGCTGACCAATGAAATCGTATTCTCCTCAGTCAAAATCATCCCTCGTGAATCGTACATAGCCCCTCCTTGGGAAAACAATTACCAAACCAATACCGAGCTAAGCGCCTTATCCAAACCGAACACAGCCCCCGAGATATTTAAAAGACACTTCCAAGGAATCCTTGACGACTACAAGAACTTTCAAAAAATTTACACCGACGCCTCAAAGTCATGCAATGGGGTTGGAATTGCAATCATACTCGAAAATCAAAACTTAACCTTCAAGCTTCCCAATGATTGTTCAATATTTTCCGCGGAAGCTCTGGCAATCCTAAAGGCCATAGAAATAATAAACACCTCAACACACACCAATTTTTTAATTCTCAGTGATTCCCTTAGCGCCATAAACAGTGTTAAAAACAAAACTCACTCCGGTGACATTGCTATCCTAATCCAAAATAAAATTGACGAAGCTAAACAAAAAAAAAAACAAATTATACTAACATGGATTCCAGGGCACACTGGTATCCCAGGTAACGAAACTGCGGATACATTTGCCAAAATGGCCATCTCCGACACGAACACGCCATTACTAGACTTCATAACCTACGACGACTTTAAAAACACATTGAAAACATATATTAGAAAAAAATGGCACATAACCTGGAATAGCCAGAATACTAAATTAAACCAGATCAAGTCTACAACTTTCAGATGGGATAATTCCAACCTCAATCGAAAAGAAGAAACCGCCTTAAATCGTTTAAGAATAGGACATACTAGACTTACCCACGGATTTCTCATGTCTAATGAAGAACCCCCCTTCTGTGAAGCCTGCGGCCTTCCCCTCACCGTCAAACACATCTTGACTGAATGTCATGTTTACGACCAGGAGCGAATGGATCTCAACATGACCGAAACCCTCGACTCAACTCTCGGACCACATCCTGACCAGAACAAAATAACGCTTAAATTTCTTAAACTTACTAATTTGATTAACAAAATATAATTGTATCTATTATGTATAAAATCTAAATTGTCATTAATAATTGTGAACTAATGGCCTTTGCTGCCGAGTTGTTTTTATAAGATCAATAAAAAAAAAAAAAAAAAAAAAAAACTAAGTGTATAACATATAAACATATTATTAACACTAAAGCTAAGAGGAAACAAAAAATCGCAAAGTGTTTAATACTATTATTCAAGCATATTACAATATTATTCAAACCCGAGGATAATATTATTGTCAAATTTCAAATAAAGTGAAAGTTAAAAATATGTTAAGTTAGATTTATTCGACATCATTTTTTTATTTTTTTTTTGACATTAAACTTTTGAAAAATGGATTATAAAATATATCGCATAAGTAAAACATTATACATTTTTAAAAATTTAGACGGTTAATAAGATTTAAATTAATAATTTTTTCTTTTACTTTATTTTTATTTTCACCATTGCCAAAATATCTGAAGTTTATATTTTGTTATTTTTTAGATATTCAAGATTTCAATGCAACAGCTATGTATATGAAATCGATGAGTCCTATAACAAATGGAATAGAGGGCAGAATCAACTTTATATCCAAAGACAATGAAATATCATCAGGATCTAACATAAATTTACAGAATTATCATTTTATATTAATTTCATTCATTATTACAGTATTATTTTTTAACATTTAAGACTTTAATATAAATAAATTATACAAAAATAATGATTAATTTAGTAAATCATAATTCTATCTTACTGATAATATTTTCTTGTTAACATAATATAATTTTGGTGAGCACTAGTAATTAAAACAAATATTAATACTGTAGGTACATATCTTATTTTTTTAAATTTGAATAGTATATATTATATTATGATTATTGCTTACAATTTCAAAATCATTTTCGTTTAATAAAATGTATGTTAATGTACCAATTAAACAGTTGTCAAGTTTAAATTACAAAAATAAAGTCAACAATAATATTGGAAAGTTATAAACATTCGTCGGTCATGAACTTTTTATTTGAGTTCTATCTTTCATGTATTAATCAACAACATATCAAAGACCATTGATAGAGAATAACAAAATTATTATTATTAAAATTGTTAAAATTATTACCTAGTAGAAGTAATTTAGTCAAGACTGCATAAGTTATATTATGATCTTATAAATAAAATCTATCGGTGCCATTGGAGCAACTAGGGAGGGGGGGTGCTTTGGGTCCTTAGCACCCCCTAAAAAATCGTTAGGGGTTAGGTCTCATTGAATCACAAAAAAACCTAGAGCTTAAGCACCCCCTAGTTCAAATGTCTAGTTGTGCCAATGATCGGTGCACACTAATATTTAAATCCTACCGCACTTTAAATTGTAAACTAAACAAAATGTAAATATAAAATTGAACAAAAAGTTTAAGCACGGAATACCACGACTACACTCTACTGAAGTTCGAAAATAAGTGGAACGTGGATAAAACTGTTGATATTTCAGAAATGCCAGGCTCCACGTCAATCGCTTGGGAATGTGTACATTTATAGCGCCTTTAAACGGACGTTCTTTCTTATCGATCCTACATAAAACGAAAGAAAGTAGGATTGGCGTGTATCATATTTTTTTGGTTCGATCTTTGCGCGTCTCGCGAAAATCCTACGCGACTGATCGCAAGCATGGCGATCCGTTTCAATCTCGCGAGAAAACGAATATACGACCACCCCGAACCTGTGCAACGGTCGGATTGAGCTCGTTCAAGTCCTCAGACCTGACTAAACCTGCAACCTGCCAAAGTATTTTATGGGGCCTAAAAAAACACATTGAGTCGATACGAAAAAGTACATCATTTCAAAACGTATATAATAAATAACAAAGTAGGTATTTGATAACTATGTCTTGATGACTTATCGAGAGTATTATGTAGGAACTATAAATCTGATTTGCCTACAATATTGAAAAAATATGTTGACATCAAACATTATACTAAATGTAATATCACGGTGTATAGCCATATAAGTTATATTAGTTATGCTATGCGTAGTGTTATAAGTTATGAACAAAAAAAATAATAATGTACAACCAATATACTAATCCATATTTTTTTCTTTATTACCTAATCTAAAACCTAGAAATTGTTTCGCTTTTAAGAAGAGAGGCAATAAGAATAAGTTGCAGGACAACTCCAAGAAGCGTGACATTTATAAGGCGCGTGGCAGTTCTAAGAAGCTTAGCAGCAGCTCTAAGAAGTAAGGAGCGCAGCAAGAAATGAAAAGATTTTACTGCATAATATATCGAAGCAATAACCAGTCGCGGCAGATCAGCCATCGACGAACATCCAAAAAACCCAAGTCGACAAAGACACGGTCATAATATAATATAAGTATATAACTATGTAACAATGAGTGGAAACAGAGGCGTATTTAGGAACAACCTCTACCCACAGAACGAACACTTGATTTCACGGACATTGTTTCCGTGATTGAGAACGGCTGATTTTTAGACTCGTCTTCTTGCTACTCCTTGTCTTACTCCTGCTGTTGCGCGTCATAATTATCACCATTCACCGTCAATCGCGTCATCCTCTTGCTTCGACGACGGTATCGCCGGCTGTACCACAGTCACTGAGCCGTCGTCATGGCCCAATGAGAATGTGCATGCTCGGTCGTCGTACGGCGAAAAACAACAGTTGTTATGGTCCAATAGTCCAATTGTTCGATTGGTTTCCAATCTTGAAAGTGTGCTGCGCAAAAGCCAATACTGATGAAATAGACAATTTAGTAAAAGAAAAATGTAAAACTTTACACGATTCGGTTTATAATAACCCAAAACAACATGTTTACACTATTAATGGTGCAAAAGAAAATTATGTAGACGAGGATCTTGAACCGTTTAAACATGCGGTACATAATGGGACGGTTTGTGTTTGGGTGAATTTTTAAAAACTGCTATGTGTTTCGGTTATATACCATAATGAGTTTGAGCGAGTGATTTAAAAACATTGTAGGCAATAATGTGTTTCGACGACCTTTTTTAATATCCTGGGATACTGTGTTTTATCTATCCATTCTAACTCTCATTTTGACATACTTGTGGCTATCCGCGAATTCCACGAGTTATTTCCACTAAGATTAAAATCGGATAGTCCTTTTTTTGTGTGAGTGATTAAAAATCGAAATGATTAAAATGATTAAAAGTCAAGTAAAAATATTATTAAAATTAAAAAATGTAAACGAAGTATAAAAGTGAATGATTAAAAATTGAAATGAGGTACCATATTATTAAAGTTGATATAAAATTCCCTATAGATTTTATATATAATTTTTTTCTTAATCTTTACAATTTTACATTTTAACTTTTATCTTTTATATTGTATCAAAATCACCCAAACACATCATAACGAACAAGAAAGGTTGAAAAACATCAAGTACAAAGATCGAGTGTAATATTCTATAATATTTTATTTTTCATTAAGGCCCCTGCAAATGTGTCATTTTTAAGGAGTTGTGTTTAGGCTATTATTATTATTATTATTTCGTTCCTGCGATTACTGATCGTCTTTGTGTGTGTAGTAAATGATCATTAGCGTGTGTATACTCCCTTACCATCCCTTACTAGTTTATGGTCGCACGCACGCACATGCACAAGTAATTTATTGTCTAGATCAAAATATTCAAAAGCAATTTATAGACGTGAAATAGCCGTTGGACTAACAAAAATTAAGGTACTTCTAGTGGTTCGATTTAAAAAATGTAAAGAAGTTTGTATTGGTAAATAAGTTTACTTTGCACCGGTAGGAGCACTTTTTTCAATTTTAGCAAATTCTTGACGAGAATAAATATTTTACATTTTATAAATTTATAAATTTGTAATATTGAATATATTCAAAAATATGTAAAATATAAAAAATATAAAAAATATGCTCCGACCGATGAAAAGTAGACTTGTTGACCAATTAAAACATTTTTACATTTTTTAAATCGAACCACTATAGAAATACTTTAATTTTTGTCAGTCGCTAAGGACGTTTTGATGAAAAATTAATAAGGTTTGCGGGGGCCTTAAATAAAATATATTAAGTAACTATCTGTCTGCATCAGGGCCAAATGTTAAGAGGATTGGCACCCAGGAGCTTTTCTTTTGCAGTACAATATAATATTTTATTAAATATATTTAGTTTATCCACTATTAGATATTTAAATCTAAACTTTATCTAAACATAGTAATTACACCTATCTGAATTACCCAGCGTTGCACGGAACAAAATTGTGATTGTTCAACTCCTTTTCACTTTTGGGTGTAACTCAAATCGTGGATTTCAAACGTTTTAAACCTACTTCGGAAAACGTGGACCCTTTTTTTTGAAAAACGAAGTCACAAACTCTCTTCGAGCCTCAAAGAATCGACTGATATAACTATTATTGAAAACTATCCGGTCATTTTTAATTCTATAGAAAACGAACAAACACAAACAAACATCCATTATTATATATTAGATTATTTATTAAGGTTAAGTGATTTTTATTTAGTTTAAAGACACCAGCCATTACCAAGTTTAAAATGCTCATCGATTAATTTTCAATTTATAATCATCAAAGAATTATTATGATAGTGTGGGTAAATTATTTTTTAAAATATGTATACCTATTTTGAGTGTAATTGGGATTATGTTAACATTTAACATGCTTTATGGTTAATTATTATTCGGGAATATTAGCCAGCGAATCATGAATTGGGATAATTTTTCAAAATTTAAAACGTTACTGTAATCTCTCTATTTATACTTTGGTGACACCATCATAGAATTACGAGAGTACGGTATCACATAAAAGTTATATAAAAATCACCTAAGTCTAAGTGTCGCCTCTTAATGGTTTAAATTGAATTGCATTGTCAATAGATTTAATCGTAATTGAGTGGAGTTTTCAAAACAATTTAATATTAAGTATGATATCAATAATATTATGTTTTATATTTTGAGCCATGACAACTTATTATGTGTTTATGAAAAGGTATAAATGTGACTGTAATAGGGGTACTTCTTATAAATGTAACTCATCCAAAACATTGTGAAACCCAAAGTGGTTATTATTTAATATTTTAAAAATGTTCTTGAATCTTGATGGTGAATGTTAACATTTGAACAATTGGCAAGTGTTTCGTAAGAAAATTAAGATCATAATTGAGTGGAGTTTTCGAAATAATTTAATATTATTTTGACGATTTATTATGACGTGTTTATGAAAAGATATAAATGTGACTGTAATAGGTGTACTTCTTCTAAAATATATAAATCATCCAAAACATTGTGAAACGCAAAGTGGTTATTATTCAATATTTTAATAATGTTCTTGATGGTTAATGTTAACATTTCAACATTTGGAAAGTTACATGCGTCCGTGAGTGGTGCCATATACATTTCAGAGAAGAAAATTAAGATTTTGTGATCATCAAGCACTAACCAGGTCATATTTCATAAATATTTTAAGTAGGTATTCAGTTTTAACAGAAAGATACGAAAAAACATATAAATTGTGACTTATGAGTAACTCTCATAATTTTTGGACTTGTAACTTAATATAATATAGTTTATACAATACAATAATATTATACTCTATAGTCTATAATATACCTATATACTAAATATAAAATATAAAATTTTTTTTATGGTTTTCCACTTTTCCATTTATTCTAATATAAAAATTGTAATGATCTCTTATTTTGTGGATTCGTCTCCGCCCCAAATAGCAGAATAACTATTAAAATATCGGAAAAATCCACAGAAAAAGTAGGAAATCTGGATGGCAAAAATACAACAGTGGCGCCAGCTGTCCAGTAAAAAAAATAAACTAAATAATAATATATTTTTGTTTATTGTAAGGTTGCCATTGGTTGTGCATGAATATAATTTTAGACCTGTATAATATTATATTTGGTCAAAACCATTTAACTTAGTATAAATGGTATTCCTAAATCCTAACGCTAATTTTTCGACGGTTGTCTGAGGAACCTACACATGCACATCATAAACAACGTATTAATAATACATTCGTAATTAAGTACACACATTTGGAATCCGCAATCCACCGCAGTCCACCGAAATCCATAGCATAATATACGGCTCTCTTAATCACAATCTAGTCTCACGGGCAACGCCGGGCAGGATGGTGCCGTGGCTATAATATAATTGAATGTGTCCTGGCTGCTGACTGATCAACGTAAATCTAAACAATTATAGCTTGAGACTTGCAATTTTCACTGGACATTCGTACCACCATGTATGGGTGTGGACTAAGAAATCATCTTCCAAAATTCGCATTTTAAAGCGGTGCTTGCACAAGTATTTTGGTGTTCAAGATGATCGATGAAAAATTTAAAGTTTTGAACACCATACACCGAATATTGAATAACTAATTGAACAAAGTTTGAATCATCTAGAGTTGTGATTTTTAACGGGAAACGAAGTGCACGGGATCAACTAGTTATTCATAAAGTATAATAAATTATTGTTTGTACATTAAATTGTAATTTGGAAACCATGAAATGCAAAAAATGTAAATTTGGTTTAGAATACTAGAAACTTTAGAAACCATTGAGTACTTAGTAGATATATGAACATATTTTATTATTCACAATAGCGTCAGCTTCCGGGGAAAAATTATTAAAAAACATCGACTTATTGGTACAAAATTCGTGTGTGTCAAAATCCATACCTCGATTCTAATTATTTGTTTTTATTATTTATACTATTTAATTAAAAATATTTTATTGTAATTCAAAAATAAATTAAAAACATTCATTTTTCTACATGTCATATTATACTACTCTATTCTCGAAATGTAAATATTTTTCTGACGGAATACTTGAACTGGTGGGAGGGTGTGTAATAAGGACTGGCAGTTGAGATTCCACCATAACACATTTTGACATTTTGTAAAATTGTTTGTGTTTAATCCATTTCGGCTACGTGGCATAGATATCCAGATGGATTTTGATCACGTGATATATACGCTGAAGATTGACGTCATCTATCACCAACGTGACGCGTGCTACGGCTCGAACACACAATTAGGTAATGATTATTTCTATTTCTATAGGTATTACTCGTACTCTTTACTTCAGACAATGTCAATAATGAGACGAAAATCAGTATTAAATATTAATTTTTATCGTGTCAACAATTAACGTGTGAACGGTGTGTCGCTTGAATGCACAATACCACAGGATTGTTTATAATTATACATCATTAGTGCAGTATTAGTTATGTATTATACTTATACTTACTTGATACATATACACACACATTAGTTACAGTTATACACAAAAGATAAGCATGGGTAACGGATGCAGAGTTGTAGAAGAGGGGGGGGGCGGTGTTGCCCTCTCCCTCAAATTGACTTTTGTGTTAATATAATAGGTTCGTTATAACAGCTCAATATACATTGATCCGATACACTGTAAATACATTTAACACGTATTAGTTCATACTAGTCGGCAAAAATTCATTTACAGCGGTAAATTGCCGCAGTGTATAATAGTATAATACGGTATTAATACCTATATTATAATGTTGATGCTTACCAATCTTTTCGGATCGTTGGAACATGTTGAATCATTATCATACTTTGAAAGCATTTAAATCCCTATGATAAGTTCGTTGTTTATGACAATTCGTGAGTTTAGTTTATACTCGTCTGGTGTGTACGAACTGTAGTGCCGAGCGCTAATAAAGTTTTTACCGACTTCCGAGAATTTAATTTTTTTGGACTTCTGATCCCTCTGATAAAGTGTAATCGGTTTACCTGTAGAGCGTGAGTGGTTGCTCGATCAGTGCGGCTTGTTTTTTTTCAAAATAATAACATTCTCCCGACCACCGTGTGCGCATCTTCTCCGTACGTGCTGTAGTGCCATCGTCGCCGTCACACGTCTCCTCGTGCGCGATGAGACAGACAGCCGCCGCGTGTTTGGCCGCCGTGGCCGTGGCCGCGTTCGCCGTGGACGCGGCCGGCCTGGACCTGGTGCTGCTGCACGCCAACGACATGCACAGCCGGTTCGACGAGACGGACCTGTACTGCAACGAGTGCCGCGAAGACGACGCTTCGCTGGGCCACTGTTACGGCGGATTCGCCCGGGTCGCCCAGTTCGTGCGTGACGAACGGCGATTGGCCAACGAGAGCGGCCTGCCGTCGCTGTTCCTGGTGGCCGGCGACACGTTCCAGGGCACGCCGTACTTCTCGTTCTTCGAGTGGAGGCCCGTCGTCGACTTCATCAATCAGCTGCAACCCGACGTCATGGTAATCGTTTTTAATCATTAATCCAGATTCACAGCTATACTTCGTGCTAGAGTTATTACAATTTAAAAGTTGAGCTGTACTCAATTATTGGTATACTCGGTTGCAACTTTGTTATGACATATAATACTAAAAAAGTAATGTCCAATTCTCAATACTCGATTTGATCGACATGACACGACACACGACGTAGCTGTGAATCCGGCTTTATTTTATTTTTATTACCAATAAGTTTTCTTCACTCAAATCAACTATAAACTTGCGAATACAATTTCTTTTATTGTTTGTATGTTTGACGTTTTTAGCGCATCTAGGTTTTTTTTCAAGGGGCGGGGGATATAAAATGTTTAATAGACATTTAGTATACACAATATATTATATTCATATTATTATAAACTATGTCACGTTGTATTGTGTACAAAATTTGGACTCCGAGGGGGGGGGGATATGACCAACATATCACACCCGTAGATACGCCACTATATATTATCAGATAGCATGCAACGGCTGTGTGGCTAGATTACTAAATTTTAAAATTTTAAAGTTTACAATTATTATGCTAAGATTTTTTTAAATTTTATATGATTACGTATTTTTACAGTAATAAATTAAGTAGAATAAGCTACCTAATTTAAAGTTGAGATAACCTCGTAGGAGTCTGCAACTGCTTAGGACATTCATTCATCTTGTATAGTTTTTGGACCAAGGGTTTTAAAACCAAAAATAAAATAAATGTAATTTGCGACCAACTGATTTTATGATGAATTATGGATTTTTGATAGACGGTACGGATATGATTAAATTGTTCATAAAATTGGTTCCATCAGAAATGTCTTTAAGCAGGAGGGTTCAGGTCACGAGCCTATCATTTTTAACTTAGATTTTGGACCCCACCTTTAAAAAAAAAATTCTATAATTGGTTTCTGTAATTGGATTTTTTCAAAGCATTTACAATTGTATGTTTCATATTTATAATTAATTATAACTACTAATACTCTTTTCCTAATCAAATAAGTAAGCAATAAGTACAGTATATATCGCAGGGGTGGACAAACTTTTTTTGATTAAATTCTATCAAAAATATATTTTTCCTTTGAGGATCAATATTTATGTAAAAAAATTATTTTTGTTGTTTTAAGTCTTTATTATAACTACTATTAATAATAAACATACATACTTATATAAATAATAACGTTAAAATGTAAAGTTATATGAAAACGAGCTTTTCAACAAATTTCAAAATAAATTAACATCATTCTGTTGACGTAGAAGTACTTGTCATTGCATATCGTTGACCATAATATAATTATAATTCTATTTCCGTGAATACCTATGGTCACGGACTGAAAAACGAAGGTGCTGCTCTAAATAATCATCAGTAAGTGTAGCTCAGTATTCAGATTTTATAACTTTCAACGTGAGGAAATGTAATTTCACATATACAGGTTAATCTAAAATAATAATTATGCATAATTATGTAACTGTGTCTACTAATAATAAGTTTTAACAATGGGTGATTAACTTTCAAATCGTCAAAGATCAAACAGTCGATCGCGATTGATCTTGCCACCCTGGTAAATCGTATAAGTCAATGAGTGTAATTTGTACAATAGTATAGTTATGTCATTAATCATTAATTTTTACAACTATCTGTTTCGTACCGATAATACTTAATACTTAATAGTTATATAATTTATATTGTTACCTATTTGTATTTCTATTGTTGCAGACTTTGGGGAATCATGAGTTCGACCACGGTATCAGCACTCTTTTGTCATACTTAAACGGAATTCAAGATATACCCACAGTAGTATCCAACTTGAATATGACTGCAGAACCAGAATTAAATAATTTTGTATTGTCGTCATTAGTATTCACCATAAACAATACAAAAGTGGGCATCGTTGGATGCTTGACAACAGATACTCCGGTAATTAATCTGCACTTATACATGAGTGACGAGTGTTTTCAATAGAAATTAATTGTATAATATCTAGGCAATATAATTGGTAGATAATCTTTTAATATACCAATTAATCGTTATTAAGTACCTATGTATATTTCTGTGTCAAACAAAGTCATCACTCTTGAAGTACCATTTAACCTTAAGAAGACTAAGCTCTCGCTGAGCCATTCTATAAGCTCTACTTAAGAGGATAGACCTAGAAGCCGATTAAAAAATCCTGCGATTTGTCCACACATCCCCAATCAGCACAACACGAGTATCTCGTGTTTAAGACACATTAACGTTACAAGAAGGTACTTGGAAATGTATGCCACCTCAGCCACCCCATTTTGGTGGACGAGGACCTATCCTCCTACAACCATCATTGAGGCCATGAAACCCCATGGACCCCCTCTCCCGTAATCACACCAACGCTGAATAACCCTCTTAATATAAGTTTAATTCTATAAACAATAACCAAGATTTACGAAGACTTACTATCATAATATGATTTTAAAAATGTTTAAGACCATATCAAATTCCGGAGCAGTTGAATTTTTTGATGAAGTAGAGTCTTTGAAGAAAGAAACGAAAAAGTTACTCAAAAACGGTGTTAATATAATTATTTGCCTTAGCCACAGTGGAATTGAAAAAGATAAAGTAATTGCCAGGGAAGTAGAAGACATCGATATAATTGTTGGAGGACATTCACATACATTTTTGTATTCGGGTAAGCACCTTTAGTAAACGAATTTCATATTAAAAGTCAAACATTTATAAGTATCGCATCATCTATAATTCAAATTAAAATAATTTATGTATTTTGAATAGAATATAAAAATTAAGTTAAAATCAAAAACTGCTATTCTAGACACTCCACCAAGCATTGAAGAACCATATGGACCATATCCACTGTACGTGACAAACGTTAAAAATAAGGCCGTACCAATATTACAGGCATATGCAAATACCAAATACGCGGGAAAAGTTGTATTAAAATTTGATTCTAATGGTGACATAGTTAATATCGATGGCTCGCCAACATTATTGAATCATGAAATAAAACAAGGTTAGTATTCTATTTTTCTTTTTTTTAAATTAATAATTTCATAAGTGATTTCAAACTTTAAAAAAATACAGTAATCTATTATAACTTATACATATACTATTACCGATGTAGATCCAACAATGTTGACTGTGGTCGATCAATGGAAACCACAGGTAACTAGGATTACAAATATTACCATTGGGCGTACGGCCGTAGAGTTAATAAACAAGTGTCGTGGAGAGGAATGTAACATAGGAAACCTGATAGCGGATTCGTTTGTATACTACGTAAGTAATATTTAATTGAATAGTTGTATTTTACTTAATAAGTAATTTTAATTAAAGAACGTTATGAAAAAAGAAGTTTACAATGAGTACTGGACTGATGCTCCTATTGGGATGGTTCAAGCTGGTGGTATTAGGACTACAATCAACGAAACTGATCATGATGGTAACAATATTATTTTTCATTAACAATTCACTTTCTGACAGATCAGAAAAAATCATTTAATTATTGCAGTTTAATAAAATATGATTAAAAAACAAAAATTTACATTTTCTTAGGTTACATCACTTTGGGGCAGTTGATCAATGTCACGCCGTTTGCTAATAATCTTGTCAAGATTACAATCTCTGGTTCTACGCTTTTAGAATCATTTGAACACAGCGTTTCTGACTATGTATTGAACCATGGTACATCTAAATTTTTACAAGTATCTGGTAAGTATGACAAATATAAATGAACTATAATTATGTTCTATAAATTTATTTTTGTAATAGTTACTGAACATTATTTGGTTTTTGAAAAGTGCTCTGAATTTTACTTAGTTGTATCTATTCTTATACCTACGTTGTATATAACATCTGGGGCAGATTCAGGAGGTGGGCAAGAGCAATCTGTCGATTTTTTTCAGTACGAAAATAAGTGCATGAATAATTTAATAATATGCAATCGCACAAATTAAACATACTGTAAATCAGTATTCGGCATTCGAACATTTTTTACCCAAAAATAACAAATAACTAAAATAATCCATAATACATTAAAAATTAATAAAACATATTTAAGGGGTATCATTCGTATAAGCACCAAATGTTTTTAAGGAGTTCGATATAGGCAATTTTCTATGTGTTCATAATATAGGAATCGTGTAAATGTGTATGTAGTAAATGACTTTGTGAGTGACTTTGTATAAAATAAATATCGGAGCGCTCCCGCACGTATAGGTACTTCACGTGCCACATACATATCAATTAACGCAGTACTTTACTCACTATTTTTTCACAAATGTGAATTTTAGTGAAACACTGAAACTTAGTTTCATATTTCCAATTATAGCTTACTGAGTGTCATTATGGTATGGACACTTGTTATACAAATTGAAGAAAAGAAGCTCATCTAGGCGTGTATGTGAGTCGATTTTCGATATTTTATTTTCAATATCCAATATTCACCTCTAAAATTTGTGATATTTAATTTTTTACATTTGAATTAAGTTAAGTAATTAACATATCGAACAATTCTTTTCATTAAATGAAGCCTCGGCGACTAAGGTAATTGGCTGAATTAAAATTACATGCTCTTACATATTGACTTTTATTCAGCCACAGATTAACTTATCTTCTACAATATTGATAATATAGGTGTTTATACTCAAACCGCTCAATAAACCACATTATTAGAAATACATAAATTAATTTTCATAGAATTTTTCCATACTATTGATATCCCTAAATAAAACATTATTTTCAGGTGTTCTGGTCGAATATGATTTAACTCAGAGTCCCGGAAATCGAGTCACTTCACTGTTTCTTCGATGTGGTCACTGTAGCGTTCCCAAATTCGAACCTTTAGTGTTGACTGCAAACTATACAATAGTGATGTCCGATTATTTGGCAAATGGTGGTAATAATTATCAGGCATTTCAAAAAAGAATAAATAACGAATTACTAGGTTTGTAAAAAATTATAACCTATTCAAACTACCCGAGTATCTCCAGTGAAAGATAATAATATAACATAACGTATCAAATTCTGGAAAACTAGAATATCATTATAATATCGTAATAATATTTTAAAACCATGATGTGATATTTAAAAATTATTCTTGTTTTCCATTATTTTCATTGATTGTGTACAAATCATGAGCTAGACATGTAAAATATCGTATCCCTCCACAGTAATGTACCTATATTGCATATACATTACGCCGTGTAACGCTCATACATATTAATATATTATTATGTACTCGCCTAAATAGGAATGCTTATGCCGGGTTGCATGAAAAATCAATTAATACAATAATGGTTCAATACAATTTTATGGACTAAACATGAGCCACTAAATCATGTTAAAAGACTATTAGCCACTATGGGTTCAATAAAATAAGTTTAGTGATTGTTCATGTGACCTGACATAGTATGTCTTATTATGTCTTTCACTGCAGTCTTGTATTTACGTCAGTAAGTCAACACAAATATATTATAAATAATAAATATATATTGTGTTATGTAGGTATTGAAGATTATAACGCAACATCGATGTATATGCAATCAATAAGTCCCATAACGAGTGGAATAGATGGCAGAATCCACTTTAAACGCGATGTCAATAACGAAAAGTCAGCAGGATTTAATATAAATACATGGAATTATCGAATCTTAGTGACTACTTTCATATTACTACAGTATTATATTTTAAACTTAAAATAATCATATAATATTAATTATAAACATTTAAATAAGTATATATATAAATAGATTTGTATTTCTACCATAATTATTATTTATATGAGATATACATCTGTAATATGATTTAGTAATTAAGTATTAGGTGTAAAAAATGTATTTGATAGCATATAAGCATGTAACTTATAGATGGCACAATTATTTATCTATACCCGTCTTAAAATATTATATATATAATTTAATGATTTAACGGGGTGATTTCATTTCAAATACATATATAAGAGGTTAAAAGGAGGAGGTAGGTCCCCTTTTCGCCCAGTGGTCCGATCCCGAGTCGCAACGCCGCCGATTCCGCAGCTGCAACGAGATTGTAGTCCGCGTCGCCAGCTCACTCCGAGCATGACTAAATAAACAGGCATGATCACCAAAAAACCTATTTTTCCTATCACTGCGCATTTTCCCCAGACTTGGCAGAAACAGTAAAATTCCCATGTAATTGTAGTGGGAATAATATTTTTTTCCATGAGTTTTCTATGATATTAGTTTTTCTTCCAAGTCTGGGGAAGTATAAAATATGCGTGAAATAATCTATATAGTGACCATGCCTGTTTATTTAGTCATGGCTTCGAGCTTTGCAGGTCACCGTCGTTGCCAGCACAAGCAGTCGTCTTCAGCACCCGTGGTACCGTCAAGCAGCGCACGACATCGCGCACTAGCCTCTCGTCGCCAACCGTCGTGGCCGGGCTTCGTCCGCTGCCATGGTTCTCTTAGCGGTCTCGAACAAACTCGCCCGCCCCGCAGGACAGCCCGTGAGAACGTTGTAGAGGTGACCAGTGGCCATATACCAGTTACCAACATCATCAGCACCACCAACTCGCCATCACGTACCCCCCCACATCCGATGCCTTTTTTTTTTGCATTTAAATTATTATTTCTTGTTTTTTGCTACTTTTTTTGTAACACATAATATTTTCATTTTTCGGCATTCAAAATTGTAAAGCACTATATGCATTCGTTTTCATGAGATTATATAATAAAATTATTTCTTCTCTAAACAATAAAATTTTGTTCCTTGTTTTTCGTATTAAAGAGTACGATTTTATTTATTTCAACAGAATAATGGCTCCATTAAACATGATCGTGTTCACGTGGAACTCACAAAAAATATTAAACAAGAATTTCTTTGTTACGAACCAATTAATATCAATGAAATACATTGAAGGTATTGGCCAAGTGAGAGTATAAGTTTATTGTGTGTGGTGACATTTTTTCTGCCCCAAAATGTGATAAAAGAAGAAAAATGAATTTAAGAAAACACGCACACATTATTATAAAAAATCAATCCATTCATCGCTCGGCTCAGAATTTAAAATAATAATAATAATAGGTAACTATAGTTTTTGTTATTGTTGTTGTATGAACACCACATTGTTTTTTCGTAAGCTAGGTAGGTACTTCGCCGACCCGTCGAAATGATTTTCGAATGATATATACCCAAGTGACGTTTTAAGAGCTTTCATTATTTTTCTTATATAATGACAGCAATCAGCCAGCTCCCTAAAATATGTATGGTTATGGCTATGTTAATCGTGCTATACTTGACAAGTGATAACTAATAAATTGGTCCATAGTGAAAATAATTCGTATATACGCCACTGCCAATACTATGGTATAACTTTGATACTCTAGACTCTAGAGTTAAACATAGGTACACTTACGTACAAACACCACTATAATATACCGATAATATACTGCGGCGATTCAGAATTTTTATTCCTGATAACGGAAATGTTAAGATAAGTTTTGAACACCATACACCGAACATTAAATAGCGAATTGAACAAAGTCATATAGAGTTGGTACATTTAACGGGCAACGGAGTGCAAGGGGTCAGTGCTATTTTCAATAAAAATATATTTATCTTATACCTAGACTGACATAATACCGTCTCCTCTCAGAATCGTTTTTCTTATACAATGATATTGTGTCGTTGAATTCAAATTTAATATCATCCATTATACAGTGACCCACATGTAACCTACTGTACAGCAGAGCGACGCCCACTTGCCCACCTTTTTTCTTATATTATTATTAATTATTCCGATATCGTAATAATTAGTTTTTTTATCATACCCAAACAGTTCGATAATTCAAGTAATACGGCTTATTGAATCGGTTTACAGCAAAACTACCAATTATAAAAATTGTAGAGACGAATTTTTTTAACAATCTTAAGAAGCCCGTTTTCGATATTTTTATTAATTAGTTGAATAATTAATGAATAAAAAGTTAAAAACCGTGTTAGTATACCATGTGATATTGGACGATTAGAATACGATATCAAAAAACGGATTTCTTACGATTGTTAAAAAAATTGTCCTCTACAATTTTTCAATGGTGGGCAAGTTAATGAAAATAATTAACTGTGGAAAGTTAAGTTAATTCAATTAAATTGCCTTCAGTTAAGTTAAAAGTTAACAAAAAAATAAAATTTAACTAGTTAAGTTAAAAGTTAAGATGGAAAATAAAATTAACTTAACTCAGTTAAAAAAAAGTTAATTTTTTTTTTTAAGTAATAATATTAATAGGTATAGGCTGTTTTTAAATATTTGTCATTTAGTACCATTATAATAGTCTATTATTAAAATAAAATCAATGAATAATGATAATAGTATAATACCTACCAAAAATTGTTTCCATATTTATTTCGATAATGTTATTTTCTAATCTCATACGTTTATTTGTATTTATAACGAATACAGCAATATAAATTATAATTTATAAATATCTCGGACGACTTTTTGTTTTGTCTATTGGAATTGTCGTATTTACCAGTAACCAGTATATATTATTGATATAATGATATCCTTTTAAAGACTATGATATTTACTATTTAGTTTTAAACCTGTTTTTAGGAATTGGAGAGTTAGATAAAACAAAAATCGGATTATTCAATACTATTAAATAATATTAAATAATTAAATAATAGAATTCGTGAAAATAGCCAGTCGATACAAGGATAGTATACTAATTATTACTCTTTAGTCTTTACTATAGTACCTATAGATTATAATATAATTTGATTATTATGAATTGATGATATTATATTATTAGAAAAATAAATTACCAAAATGGCAAAATAGAAAGAATGAGTTTTGTCTCTTGGTTCCACATGATAAAAATTTAATTTAATTAACTTAACTGTACAATAATGATAATTAACTAATTAACTTTAAAAAGTTAAGTTTAAACAATACAAAATTTAACTGAATAAGTTAATAAGTTAAAAACAAAAAAAACTAACTAGTTAAGTTAAAAAGTTAAAAAAAATTAACTTTTTAACTTAACTTTAACTTTTTAACAAGTTAAGGCCGGGCGCACACTGATAGAGCAAAAATGTTCCGAGCTAGTCGAAACATTTTGTTCCAAACGGCTCCGATCAAATTGCATTCATACTGACAAAACAAAACCAAACAAGACAAAATAATTTCCGATTCGTTTTTTGTTTTATACACCAGTCGCCAAGATGAGTTCTGATGAAGATGATGTTGTTATACCGCTTTTGTGGCAATTTTTGTTAAATAGTGAAATAAATGAAAATAATCGTAAACGTAAAATTTGGGTGCACGAAATAAATAAAAAACGTACAGAAAATAATACAATTATTAACTTTTTGGCTGAATTACGTAAAGATGAGTTAAAATTTAAAAATTTCACTCGCATGAGTTCAACTACTTTTGACTTTATATTAAATGAAATTGGTGAGGCAATACGATCACAAGACACAAATTTTCGTCAAAGTATAGCTCCTGCTGAAAAATTGTTAGTAACCTTGAAGTGAGTTCAAATAATAATACCATAATTATATACAAGAAATATTTATTAATCAAACTTTAGTAAGTAAGTGAAAAACGAATTTTTACAATACAATTTATAATTTTTTTTTTTTATTTAAAAGTGTAATTCTTTTATTTATTTACTTAAAATGTATTATTTATTTTTAAATTTATACGATAAGTATTGATAATTTAGTAATTATTTAAAATAAGTATTCAGTATGTTGAGCTATTTGATGATGAATATCCGGGTGGACTGAAAGTATAGTTGTAATCTTGAAATTCCTGTACTGGTACATTTGATGTAGTATTATCATATGATACTTTATCATTACCTACCGATTCTTGAGCTTCTTGGCTGTCGATGTATGTATTTAAAGTTGTTAACACAAACTGTTTAAACTGGCGCTGGTTTTTTCCATTTAATTTTTTGAAATCGGGCAAAAGACTCTTAAAAAATAATAAATCAACATCTTCTACAGCTGATTTATTTGTTTTTGAACGTAAAAATTCGATCATAGGCCCTGCAACTTGTTCTGCAGCCGAATTTTTAACTTGAGTTTTTTTTGGTTTTTTAAATACAGGTTCAGAAGATACTCTTGTCAGCTCTTGTCTGTCAATTAAACATGTAGTATTCGTACCTTCATTTTCAATTTCATTTACGCTCTCATTGAAATTTGGATTTTCTGTACTTTTTTCAGTATCAGTTGCCTCACTTTCATCATCTGATGCTTCTAGATTACTTGATGTTTGCTTGTGCTGCAACATGAAACTTGACAAAAATGACATTTCATTGAATAAATACCACTGTTTTTTTCTCGAAGCAGCAGAACCAGATATTTTTGATTTTTCTTCACGTAATGCTCTTGCAAAACTATTACGAAGACACGCCCACTTACTTTTACACTCTGCCACTAGAAAATTTATATTTAATTAATTGTTGTTTTATGCATTTAAAGTTTTGACAGACTGCATCTAAATTTCAAAAAACTGTTAATGTATAGATATTTTAGACTGAGCGACTCAGATGAATGTATTGGTTTAAAAAAAAATATATAAATTGAAATATCCAATTTTAATAAAAAATCTAACTTTATTGTATTAAGATTTTTTTTTCATTTAATATTTTTATTAAAATATAAATTTTTGTCCTCAACTTGACTTTTTTAACGAAATAAGATTTTTTATTCATCGTTAGATAAAATAATATAATTTAGTTGTACTATGTATAGTAGATGATGCCAATAAACATTTGGTGAACATTTCAAGTAAGAAAGTATTTAAAATTTTAAAGCGAAGCATTATTTTCATTAGTAATCGTGTACATACATATAAAAAACAAACATCTCTGTTTTTAACTTCGTTCAGAATTTAAAAATGACGTAAAAAATAAAATATGTATTTATGGCTAAAAATGCTCAAAAATGTGAAATAAAATTAGTATAATAAATAGGTATAATAGAATAAATAATTATTTTTCAGCTATTTAGCTTCTGGAGGACACTTTAAACGCTTACATTATCATTTTCGTCTTGGCGCTTCAACTATTGGAAAAATTATAAGTGACGTATGTTGTGCCATATGCGATATTTTATGTCCTACTTATATGCCACCACCTACAACTGAACATTGGATAAAATCAGCAAAAGCTTTTGAAGAACTGTGGAACTTTCCTAATTGTCTTGGCGCGATTGATGGAAAACATATATCAATACAATGCCCTCCTAATGCCGGTTCAGAATATTATAATTATAAGGGATTTCATTCTATTGTACTTCAAGCTGTCGTTGATGCTAATGCTAAATTTATAGCTGTAGATATCGGTGATTATGGACGAAATAGTGATAGTGGTATTTTTAAAGAATCCAATTTTGGAAAATTATTAAAAAACAATAAATTAAATATTCCGCAGTCAAAAAAAATTGACCCTCGAATTAACGATGAGTTTCCGTTTATATTTGTTGGGGACGAAGCATATCCTTTGCAAACAAACTTAATGAGACCTTTTCCAAGAAGAAATTTAACTAATGAAAAAAGAATTTTTAATTATCGTTTATCGAGAGCCAGAAGAATAGTAGAATGTGCATTTGGGATTCTCGTGAAACGATTTAATGTTCTAGAAAATAAAATGTTAGTTTTTCCTGAAAAAGCTACTATTATCACAAAGGCTTGTTGTATCTTACATAACATAATAATGGATAAAGAAGGGGCTCCATCTGAAATCCAAGATGAACTTCAACTTCAAACAACCCAAACGGTTGCCCAAAGCCAAATTACATCAAGACCAATTAATAGGGCATCTACTGCAGCAATGGATATCCGAGAGAAGTTCATGAATTATTTCAATTCAGACATTGGTTCAGTTCCATGGCAAAATATGTACAATTTATAAGTTTTAATATCACATTTCTTTAAATTTAAAAATTAATCAACTAAAATATTATAATATTATAATACTATAGGTAATTTTAAATAGCTCAAAAATGTAAATGTATGTAAATGTAAGTAGTTTGACTATTGATTTAATTTTGATTTATATTACAGATACATAAATATAGAAATACACTACGTACTCATCATGTAAAAAGTTAAATTATTTTAAATTATTTTTTAACTAACCCGATGTTTCCATTTCTGTGCTGATTTCATTCCATAATCTGTCTTGGATGATTCTATTACTATGCTCTTTATCCGTAAAATCGTAAATAGATTTTCTTAAAAAAACAAGATTGATCAATTTCTCTGGATCGCATCCCATTTTAAAATAATTATGAAATATTAATAAAGCTTAAGTTTAATCAAGTTTTATAAAATCATAAAAATCTGCGAGTGACACCAAAATAACGAGTGTTCAGTTGTAAACTATTCGTATAAATAAACAAATTTATACGATTACATAACATTTTCATATTTTGCTCGGAGAAAAAATAGAACCAGACCGAACAAGATCGAACATGCTTCGTTTTGTCCTGTCGTGTGTTGATGTTGACTGATTAGTGTGCGCCGCGTCACTTACTTTACATATGTTATAATTGCCTACAAACAGCTCCGAGCTGCTCCAAGCAGCTCGGAACAGTTTTGCTCTATCAGTGTGCGCCCGGCCTAATGCCCACCATTGCAATTTTTATAATAGGTAGTTTTGTTGTAAGTCGCTTCAATACGCCGTATTACTTGAAGAACAAAAGTATAGTTTTTATTAGTATAAAATTCGGATACGAATAGAAAATATAAAACCGAACCAAATTAAATAATATCTGTCACAAATATAATAATCATTTTCTTATCTGGTTATTTATAAACTATGTACAGGCGCACGGCTGCGATAGCAACCTGTTTTGACCATGGTGCGGCACTGCCGTTACGAGCGCGGGGTGGTGGTATGAACACCTAGTATCGAGCGCTGCCGCTGGCTGTAACGGGCGCAGCAAATGACGAGCGTAATTAAACGTTTTTTTTACCGAAAACATGGTTTCGTACTTCCAGAAATACGTCTTATTGAAGCGTTTTACAGTATAAATACCTATTACAAAAATTGTAGAGGAGAATTTTTTCTAGAAACGTAAGAAGCCCGATTTTTGATATCTTGTTCCAATCGTCCAATATCGCATGGTAAATAAACACGTTTTTTTTAACTTTTTATCAATTAATTATTTAACTAATTAATAAAAATATCGAAAATCGGACTTCTTACGTTTCTAGCAAAAATTCTCCTCTACAATTTTTGTAATAGGTATTTATAACGTAAAACGCTTCAATAATACGTATTCCTGGAAGTACGAAACCATGTTTTTATGCCATATTTTGTCTACTGTGACATCCTCTTAATACCGCTAGAAACATTTCAGTGCGTTTCCATAAACCTTTTTTTCTAAATTTACTTGCCGATCACATTAAACGATAAAATTTGAATAATAAATTATACATAACAAAATCAATTTTATAGAAGACTAGTTTTGAGAAAAATTTCAAGTTAAACAATCTTTTTTTATTTGTAAATCATCCAGTAGTATAATTTTTTTAGCTACAAATTAATTAGTATATTTAAATGTCTCCTAATTATTAAAAATTGTTTTAAATTAATGCTTACTTTAAATTTATAATGATATCCGACACTAAGTACTTTTATTTGATTATATAATATTAAACCTTATATTATATATTTTTTTAAACATTACCTCTACTATATTTTATAAATTAAGTAAGAGTTTACCAAAACCAAAAATAGAAGACTTGATTGAGTCTATTGATTGTGGCTTTTGAATCAGCAATAATTTTCAAAAACTATAGTTTTTCAATAATAAAAAAAATATTTGTATATTGCCATTTGACAGGGACAAACAGGGATTTGACATTCTGTAATCTGTATATTATGTTAAAATGTCTATCCAAAAAGGACATAACATCATAATTTATCAGTTTATAAATTATGCATTTAAAAATTATTTTTTATCTAATTTTCAATCATAATTGTACAAGAAAAATTACTAAATATTAATAATATACATTTATATAGTTAGGAATTATAACATAAAAGAGTTTATAAACACTATAGTTAGTATACTCATATGAAAATTAAATGTTTTGTTATAAATAACAGCACATTACAACAGCCCATTACCTAATAAAATTCATTATTATTTCATAAACAAAAGAAAATAAAACATATTGCTGGTAAGTTTCATTTATGTTTCACCACTGTCCATCCATCATCACAGGCTTCAGACTCTTCACTAGACGATGAATCATCCTTCTAAATTAAATAAAGATAATACATATAATTAAATATAAAATAAATATATATGTTAATATGAATATATTATGTACAATATAGTAGCTCTATAACATTGCCTGGGGAAACAATGAACAAACATCATATGAAGCTATATTGTTGTATCTCAGTTTGTTTCAGTGTACCTTAGGTTCACTGGCGGATAATTTTTTTTTTTATAGATTCTCAAGAGAAAGTTTTACCATTAATAAAATTTTATTTTAGTGGACAGAAGGAGCCATTATCGTATTTCTATTTTATTAATCAATATTCCATAGGCATGAGCTGAATTCATAAAACAATATTTATAACCTGCTCCATAGTGTACACTGTGCTATTTAAATTTGGCAATAACCACATTTGAATCTGTTTAGTATTTTCTTAAGTTATCCAGACATAAAAAAGGAACTTTGTTTTTTATTTATAAAGGTATATATGTGTGTATATGTATGTGTATATTGTATATATTAAGATAGTGTACAGGTGTATTGCTACTTGTTGCAAAACATAAACAATAAATATTATTAGAATTAAAAAAACTATGTAGCCAAATAGAAAATAGGTTGAAGTGGACAAAAGGTAATAAATTGTTATTTAATTATTTTTTTGTACTATTGTGCAAAGGGGAAAGGGTCTAGACCTAGATTCTAAACTCTTCGAGTTAGGTTATGCGGTTTGCATTGACATGACAGATGCACATAACTGTTTTTCATAAGTCTTATTTCATATTTTATTGAATGACTGTATGAACTTGGTGAATACTGTATCAATTTCAGGTGGCACTCACACTACCGATTAGTTCGACCGAGTGTTCAATGTTAAATAGTTAGAACTAATAAAACGTATTTGGTCAAAAAATAATTAATTGCATCGTAGTTATAAATGTCTAGAAAATGCAGATCTTAAGCGCCCTCAGTTTTTTTTTTATTTAAATTGAGCCTATATTAACCATAAACAATTTAAGGCTTTTCGAACACTTTGTAGTTCATCTGCCATAATGTATTTTTATTTATTGTAAGTTTGATATTGGCTATGAAAGTTACAATTTAGTATAATTTTAGACTTGTACATTATATTTGGTCAAAACCATATAACTTGATAAAAAATGGAATTCCTAAAGCTAACTTGTCCCGGAAAGGTGGAAATTATAACACATGCACATCATAAACAACAAGTTGATAAAACATTTGTAATTAAGTACGTACTAGGTACCTTGCCGGAGCTTGAGTCTTGCAATTTTCACGATGCCTATTATATTATATTAATCTCGTAAGTCTAAGATATTTTTTGGAAAGATGTTATATACTCCGTGCCACGAGAGAAGTAATCCGCTAAGCGCATGCAGACTGATGGCAGCGACCGTTCCGAGGCCCCGTTTCCCTTGCTTCACAACATAATACATATTAATAGTATTGCTATATAACGTTGCCGACAGTTGACGGTTGTGATCGTGCAACGTTGACAGGTCAATTAGGTGGGGGATGCGTGGATTTGACTGCGATTTGGTCGAGAAACAGGTTAATTCTCTCGTGGCACGGAGTATAAACAGCAATGGGGGTATATAGTAATACACAAATAATTAACTAATTAACACTCTGGCAAAGCCGGGTAAAAATTCAGCTAGTATATTATTTAATTGTGACGGGCACAGATGTTTTAAGCATAATTATTTTAATAGTCATAATCTTTATCAATAAAATATAGAACGAAAATAATATAGCAAGCATAGCATACATAATTAATTGTTTTATTGTTTAGTCAGTGCATTCAATTAACAACCTCAAATAAATGACAGATGTTGTAATTGTGTTGAGTTATTGGAAATTTGCTATTTATTTAAAATCTAAATAGAAATAAATTCAAATAAACCCGATAACATCAAAAAGGTTGGATTATTATTAAATTATTTGATCACAACGAACAAGAACATAGAACACTAATGTCATACAAATTACCTTTTGTTTTTCACGTATTGGTCTTACTGGAACAATTTGAATAGGAATTACTGTAGGTAAACTTCTGAGTTCATCTATAACTTTTGTTCGGCCATCTAACGACTGGTTCCAATCAGAGTAGAGATTACAAATATGTTTACTTAAATCATCGGCAGAAGCATCTTCAAGTACAACATCAAACCCAACATCCATCACGTCTTCAATAATATCAGATATACTCGTCCAGCACATGTTGTCACCTTAATTGTGATGGATTAAATAAATAATCATAATAACTTTCTAAGCACTAGACTTCATAATGTATTAATATTTTAGAAAAGAAATAACAACAATTAGGTATCAATATTAGATACCTTAAATAAATAATTAATGTCTTGTGAAATTTAAATATCAGATGGGGGTATCTTATAATAATAACTCGATATACTACGAATGATAATGTACGAACCAGACTTCCGAAGACACTCGTGTATGTTCTTTATTAGATCACTTATTTTGAATTGCATGACTTCAGACGATCCACCCATGCCGTGTTCTACAGCCAACTTGAATGTAAAAATAATAATAATAATGATAAATAATTTAAAAATGTGTTGTGTAGAAATATCTAAGTAATATTTACTTTGAGCGCGGTCCAATTGTTGAACAGCACGCCAATTATGTGCTCAAAATTCGTTTCATGGTTCAGTATAAATAAGGACATGATTGTGCGTAATACACCAGTCACCAGCTAAGATCTTAATGATGTAGATCTACTATTGTAGATTTACTTAATTCGTGACCTGTGCGTACAAGCACGACTGTGTTCATCGGGCCAAAATGCCAAATTAATAATTATCGTCCTCGTGGTTAATAATTAATATTTGTATTAATATTATCATTGATAGGAGATTGATAACAGTTTTACCGGCTGATTATAAACATTGTCGTTATCCCACACGGTTGGTAACCTTGGTATCCGCATAGAACAATCTTGGTATCCGACGAGTATTGCCCACGAAAAAATAATGCGCCGGGATGTTTGGACCATATAGAAATTCGCTAGACTAAACCGGTGTGAAAAATAATGCACCGGGATGTTTGGACCATATCATTTACATGGTTCATTATCCCGGTGCGGGATAATGTGGGATAATTTTAGACGGGTTTAGTCAAGCGAATTTCTATTATGATTTAAGATAATATCTTAAATCGTGGTATTGCCACAGAATAGATGAAAACGGTTGAAAATAGATGGAACATTAGTCCCGAGGGCTGGGACGCATGAGTATTCGTAATGAAATCAAATTATATTATTGCCCGCGGACAGTCAATAATATTATATATTTATATGACAAACACTTATTAAATTTTTATCCAAACATTTTGACTGTATTGTTTGAAATAAAAATGTCGGTGTGGAAAAAATTGATTTAACACGTTGGTGGACAGTTGCCGATATTACTGCTATAGCAGTAATATTAAATGTTGATGTGAGGGGTCGTTTTTAAATATTACTGCTATAGCAGTAATATAAAAACCGTCCAAAAAGTGTCATTACTGCTATAGCAGTGATATTTTCAATGGTCTCTTATGAGAAAGGAAATTTTACTGACCCCGGACATCTCATCGGGCCATCGGGCACTCTATTTTTAGCTTATGTATACACGTATTTATAATACAAATACATGTATTTTCCATTTTTATTCTTCAGCTGATAAGTTATAATTTATATTTCGATAATATTTATCGATATATACAGTTATTGTTTTTTTTTCATTTGATTGGCACAACACAGGATACACAATTCGTAATATGAACATTTAAATGTAATACTGCTATAGCAGTAATTTTTAAATTGAAAATGTTATGTCGGAGGTCAGTACTGCTATAGCAGTACTAAAAATATTACTGCTATAGCAGTAATGAAAAGAGTCGTTTTAAGGATAGTTTTTTTTCGACGGCGGCCACAAGACTGTCCATCAACGTGTTAAGTTAGATAATATGTCTCAAAAAGTACAAAATACGCTCTAACAACCAAAAAGACTCAAAATATGCATTTATAATTTATTTGCAAAATAAAATTTCAAAACTAGCTTTGTGAAAGCATGAAAATTATTTGTTTTGTACTCTGCTATTTTTGTGACTGTGCAAAACAAATATGCAAATGCTACAAGTCATCTGCCCTACTTATTAGTTAGCGTATGTTAGGTCAGGTCAAGAGATATATGGTCGAGGGCTCTCGACGTGAAACGCAATGTGGTAGAGCTACTGGAGACCGCAGAGGGTCATAGCCATCCGAACCATAAGGCCATAAGGGCATACAGAACGATATCAACCGCGGCGGCCATGGTGATAGCAGGCCTGATACCGGCGCATCTCCTGGCGTGGGAGAAATCCGAGAGGTACAGGCGGAAAAGCGAAGAGGACCATGGAACGCGTCAAAACGGAGATTCGGGATGAAGTGACCCATAAATGGCAGTATGAATGGGACTGCGAACCTAACGGTCGATGGACACGAAGGCTGATCAAAGATTTGACATCGTGGACGAGCCGGAAGCACGGGACTGTGGACTTCCATACAACCCAAATGCTGTCCGGCCACGGGTGCTTTGGGCAATACCTTTGGAGGTTTAAAAAACTGGAGGACCCAAGGTGCGCTGACTGCGGGGAACCCACAGACGACGCAGAGCACGTGATGTTCCGGTGCGGCAGATGGGAGAAGGATCGCCGCGCATTAGAGGTGGAATTGGAGGAATCGATAGACCCAGACAACGTCGTAGCCATTATGCTCAAGAGAAACACAAACTGGGACGCTGTCAAAGGATTCATCAGAAAGGTGCAGTCCAAGAGGGAAGAAGATGAAAGACTCAGACAGAATGGAAACCTTTAGTTAAGTCCGGTAAACTGTACGCCGAAGGCGAAAGATAAGAAGGACAGAGCCTTCTCTTTTTTGTGGAGCGAAGCTCATTAAGCATTTTATTATGTTATTGATTATTGTGTGATATTTATGTGTGCAATAAATGATACGGATACAGGGGGAAGGACGGCCCTAACGGGTGAAGTGCCCCCCTGTAGCGCCGTGATACCACCACAAAAAAAAAAAAGGTCAGGTCAAGATGGGTCTTTAGAAAGGTGATTTTTCGATTTTCTCAATAGTTATTTAATACCACAAGAAAAACCACTGACAAATTACGAAAAACCACTAAAAATGGGATTTTAATTTCTAACGTTTTGTTAGTCACCATAGAAACGAATAAAAAATTATAATACCTATTATAATATAGATTCAACTTACAGGATATAATAAATAATAGAAATATTCAGACTGACAAACCGTCTCCGCTCAGAATCGTTTTTCTTATACAATGATATAACCTATATCATAGAATTCAAGTTTAATACAATATTTTATAAATTGACCCACTTGTAACCTACTGTACAGCCGAGTGACATCCACTTACCCGCTTTTTTCTGTTTGTTTCTATGTATTTTTACCCAACAAATCGTCAAAGGGAGCGACTACTCGTGATATTTTACCTGGCAACGTTAAGACTTACGAGACGTTATTGGTTAGTAACTTCGAGTTTGGTTACCGGAGCTGGTAAGCGTGGACGCGTAGTGAGCAACCACTTGTTATACAATATACCTACTTTATTACTTTAACAGGCAAGGCCATGGGCAAGGTTACAATCACGTATATATCTTAGTCCGTGGTTACAATATTCTCATTACCAGTTGTCTACCCGAAGAAAATTGCAAATAATGTAATTATAGCATAAAGGTAATTAAAGGAGCGGCAGACTAGACTATATACTAGAACGTTTTGCGTAAGCGTATAATCATGAACTTTAAAACTTTGAAACCAAGTTCCTCCGACAAATTCTGCTTGCAGCATCGTTTTTAACACTGATTTCAGAAAAAATAATCAGAAAAAAAAAGCGGGTAAGTGGATTGCTGTACAGTAGGTTACAAGTGGGTCATTGTATAATGGATTGTATTAAACTTAAATTCATCGATATTCTATATATATATATATATTTTGAAATCGAAGCACTCCTTCTCACTTCTGGTAGATATTTTGTATACGGAATATATAAAAAAAAATAAAATAAAATAAACACCATTGTAAAACCACTAGCTTCCTCGCTCTGCTCAGAATCTAAAATCAATTTATTCCCTAAACTAGATTTGTATCTAATATTTATTTGATCTACAATTTATTGTACCTAACACAAGTTGCAACCTACTTTTTTATCAAAGAATAATACATTTAAATGTTCTATTGATTCGTAGAAGGATCAAGGAACCAAGGTGTGCATTATTTAAAATTTATAATACTATTTGTAATTTTAATTTCAAACCTTTACAAATGTAAATATGTAATATAATATAGACTATAGAGTTAATTGAATGATAGTTATTTAAAAGTATTTAGTATTGTTAGTGAATACTATGAAAATATGAAGTATTATCAAGTATGAAATATTGAAATAAATATAAAAAAAGAATATTCATAATAAACATTTTAATACTATAATAACTGATGAGAATTAAAAATATATCTGTGTCTGGTATATTATGTACTATGCTTAGTTTTTGTGATAATAGTAGTATTGCAAACCAACAAAACCATATATATTGTTGTCTATAATAAAAACAATTGTATACATTTGGGTGACTTACTAACACATTAATAAACGATTGAATGATTCTCAATAATTAATAAACGTTTATATCTAAAAAAAAAAAAAATTACCATTAAAAATTATGTGACCAAAGTTCTATTAAGTAGGAAATTTGATATATTTTTAATCAGTGAATAATAAAATATAAAAACATATTTTGTTTTGCATACAAATATAAATATGATCTGTAATTGATTATTTCTTAAATTATTTAAAATATAAATACATTCTAAGTAAAAATAAATTAAATTCAATATAAAGGCAAACTAGTAATTTTTAACGAGTAATATAAACATATTTTTTGTTATATAAATCATTATTAAACAACCTAAACTGATGACTGGCATACCAAATATGGTTTTGTGTCATCATTTTGTAATATAATTGATCAAATAATAAATATTGGAATAGTATATTATCTTGTTAGAGATTATAAGTGGATTTAATTTCATTCATTAAATTATCAACTAATGTTTGTGATGTACATTTTGCCTCAACAGAAACATTGTTTAAATTTGATTTTACCAATAGACATAGTTGTTCACTAGATGCGGTGGAACCATAAAGTGAAGCAGTCTCACCAACACGTTCCACTAATACTAGGTGAAGTTTAGTGGAAAACCAATTAATAACTTGGTTAAAATTAGTTCCCGACAAAATCACTGACGATTTGAAGACTAGTTGACCATTGCATAGTAGCTCAACTAATGGTACAGATGGAGCAGCTTTAAGGAACATATCTGAAACAGCTACGGCCAATCGCCAGTCTAATTTGTCTTGGTGGATATTGTCCTCTTGAAACATCTAATAACACACATATAATACTTAAAATACTATAATAGTTATAATACTATAACAGTTGCAAATTTATATTTTCGTAATTTTTACTTAGTCACAATCTCAAAATGAAAAATAAGCCCTGACCCTGTAGCCCGTTGTTTATACCCATAATTGTAATCATTGGTACTAAATATTGCATAATCGCACAGCTGCTAACTTACCATATTTAAGGACACAAAAAATTAGCAATGACTGACTGGCCGCCAGGAGTTCAATATAATACATTAACTTAGGTCCTTTCCAAAATAAAAAAAATTACATTACTACCAGGTGCCTTAAAATGTTCATTACCTGGTGGTAAATTAAAGTGGCCAACAGAAAATATTATAACAATAAAAAGTACTAATACTAATAGTACCTGATGACCAAAATTTAAGCCAACTATTAACTATTATAAAATTGATACCTCAGAAATGGCTTAAAATAAACCAAAGGAACATAACTCATTGTTCTAGGTCTCTTCTCATAGTATGAAGTAGCACAACTACCCTACACATAGAAAGCAAACTGTATAACTCACTTTAATTTTGTTATTAAATATATCAAAAACATCTGCCGTCGACCTAAGTTTATTGTCACATTCAAACTATAACTTGTAATTTATATGTAAAATACTGTCTTGTTTTGTTTTGTTCTTACTAATGTCAATTTTCACTGTTATTATTACTATTGCTGTTCACACACACTGTATTTTTACACAAATTCACATTATAATTATGTAATTTGTAAATTATTATCAAACATTGGAATTTCTGGATTGGCGTTAGTTAATTAAATAAATAAAATAACATGTGTTAAAATAAACCAGTCTATAAATTCTATATGAAATACATATTGACCATGTCTCATATATGTGACACCGGTCTAAGCAGAAACACACCCATATGTCACATATTATTCTTGGCACGTGGCCATGAACATGTTAATTTCTGTTCAAAAATATTATAACATTTTAACATACAACTCTACAATATATAAGAATCTATTTGCCGACTATGCTGATGACAAAGTAATGTAATCAATACATGATGAACCATTAATTGCTGTAGATTCGTCTGATTTCATCGCAACATTTAATATTAAAAATTTAAAGAACAAAATCACCACTCTCACAAAATGGGTAATAAAGCTAGTAAGTGGTCTCTATCTCAAGTAAACTGTATAATATTCAATTAGTCAGTCAAAATTAAGTAATTAAAAATATAGCTTAGACTGCTTAGAGTTAAAATTCACAGGCTTTTTAAATTCTAAGATCATAAAAACCAAAAAACCATTTCAATATGTTTTCTACTTAAAATATTTTTAATATAGACTAATTTATAAAAATATAAATGTAATAAACTAAAAAACTAATTACTTACTTGTGCCATATATGTCAGTGACCCTCGAAGAGTATTTGGAATAGCTATGTTTTCTACTTGAAGAGACAAGTCAAATTCAGTTAATGAACCACACTGTATGCTATTACTGAGTTTATACCAAGATAAAGGTTCATTTTTCTAAATTATAAAATAAATTCACAATAACAAGAAATAATTAATAAGTAATGGCTTATTCAGATAAGACGATATATTTACTTCATCTAAAAATTGGATGGCAGTGGAATTAGTCACATCAATTTCAATGTTTTTGATCAAACAATTATTACCCACATTAGTAAGACGAAAGAATACAGTTGCCGAGTTACTTAGTTCATTTTTTGGATCCATTTTGTACTCCTTAAGAATCATACGTTAAAAAATTATAATTAATTCAAGATAATATGAGCACAAACTACTTTTTGCAAAGATTATTATAATAAGACAGACAAATCTAATTTCTTTATATTGTTAATATATATTCACCAAAAGTATATATTTGTCCATTGCTAATTTTCTGAATGATAAATCTTCAGCTTGTACAATTTCTTTGGACGGTGTGCAAATCCCCAATGCTTCTTCATAACCTTGTTTAATTTCAATCAATTGTTGATCACTTTTATCTAATTTTTTTAACTTTTTTGATTTTTCGCTCTTTTTCTTCTTTTCTTTTTCCTTCTTTTTTTTTTTATGTTTTTTTTCTTCAACAGGTGGTGGGCGTTTAATTTCAGGAATATCTAAGTCAATATCTAGTGCAGTATGTGGGTCATTGATGTCTTTTTGCACATCTATGGCCCCATCAGAATCTTCTGCACCATCTGGCATTTCCCCTACATCACGATTAACTATCATTTCAATTGCAAGTTCTTCATCTTCTTCTTCAAAATGATTAAATTCTTTTTTCTTTTTTCTAGATTTTTTTTTATCTTTTTTTTCTTTCTTTGCTTTAATGTATTTGTCAGACGATATAAAACCAGATACGTTTAATGTGGTTGGCAGATCTATGG